GCGCCGGAGCACCCCCCGCCCGCAGAATGCCGCGCCGCGCTGCGCTCCCCCCGCCGCCCCTTACCAGGTGCCGCCCCAAGCATGTGCTTGGGTGCCTGGTGCCTGGAGCCGGCCCTGACAACAAGCTCACTTAGACTGCAATTCAAAATAAGCAAATGATACCAGTGGGGGATTAACATTGTTCCAGTGATGTTCTTACTGTTTTTCACAGATCTGTGTCTGTAGATTCATTTCCCATTGCATCTGTGTAAGGACCTGATTGATAGCATATATCATTTGTGACAGTAAGAAAATATAGAGAGCTCATTCTTGTGTTCAATAAGTGCATCTATTGAGGCTCAGTTCTCAGGATACAATGTTGGATCCTGGGACTAAACTATATGGACCATGTACTTCAGTTGGAGTTGAGAGCTTTCCCCACATCACATTAGACACTCAGCACCTTGCCGGTCATATCCATAAGATGAAATTCACCAATGAGCAGAGGGCCGGCCCAAAGCTTCTGCATCACATAAGCCCTATTTTGAGGACTTAGATGAAACATAAGTAGTGCACTCTGTGTTGCCTCTCTGCATGGGGTTGAATTTTACATTTAATAATATAAAAACATTCAGGAATTCAGTTTGGCTTCCCATTCTTTCTTACATCAAATCACAATGGATAAGAAGAGCATCAAATATATTTATCCTGGACAACATTTAATTAGTTTGCAAAGATCAAGATAATACAGCAGTTACAAATTAACAGGAAGGAGAAATTCCAAAATGTCAAAAGAAACACAATTCCACAAAGAAACTACAAACACTTATTAGGGTTTTGGCCAGGTCCTATCCAGAAGTTAAAGGAAGCACATTGATTTACACCAGCGGAGGAGCTAAACTAATATTCTCATTGATTTCTGAATAGATTAAAACAAATGAAAAAATACCGTTATAATTCTCAGCTTCCAAAATATGAAGGATTAATAATATTTTTGGTTAGTTTTGAGTACTATGCAGGGCTAGGTCCTGCTTGCATTACTCATGAAATACATAGTGATTTCTATATCATCTATATATCTGTATCTGTATAATGGATTTTTTAATGACAATAGTATACTCCCTCCCAAAATTTATTTATGTATATGTAAACTATATCTATATCTACATATCATGTATGTGTACGTACAGTGGTCATCATTAAATTATTGACATTTACCATGTGAAAGTAATTGGCCTTCACAGGTACAATTTAGCATCAGAAATACCACTAATGCCAGAGTAATGCTAATTATCTTCAACCAGTAAATGTTAATATTTTAATGGCTAGCATTCTACTTCATCAAAGGGTCTTTTAAACATAGATTGATCCTAAATGTCTAATCTGAAATTCAAAGGGAAGTAAAAATAAAATGTAAAAAGTGCCTACCTAGACTATGTATCCAGCACAGCAGCAGCTACCCCATCACTTAAATTGTTGAAAAACAGTGGATCCTCTCCTTAAACAAGGGTATTCTGATCTTTATCAGGTTACTCATTAACTTTCTAGCATGGTCATTTTACTAGGCAAATAGAAACTACAGTTTAGGAACATTGCTTTAATCCTCTGTCTCTGACCAGTTCCATCTCCTTTTCCCAGTCCCAAAATACATGCATACTACAAAATTTAAATAACATAGGTAGAACGTGCTTAGGATGGAATTCTGCATTTGTAAACTGTTTTGTGAAGCTCCCATTTTCCTGAGACAGAAGAGTACACCTCTTGCCTTTACCTAGTGGATGATCCAATCTTAATATAGTTGTCAACTACAAAAAAGGGGGCGGGGGGAAGGAACGAAAGAAAAAGTTTGAATTTCTTTTCAAAGACTAGGATTCTGAATGTTACTTCTGCCCTGAGGCAGTCTGATAGCATACAGTGTTGGTTCTGTCTATTGTATTTAACTGCTTTCTGTAGTTTTCTAGCTCCGATAAAATATATTTTGCTGACTCTTGCTGATATCAAGTCTTTTGGGTCCTATTAGCTCCAGTCAAGGAATATAAGACAGTAAAATGGATGTCGCTAGGTGCAGGGACAAGAAAACAAGGAACTGTCATGCTGAGGAGAATGTTTAGGTTTGTGTTTCAGTGCTGTTAACAGTGCTGGCAAACCCAGAAAGGCGGTATATTTAGGTTATCTTAAGTGTGTGTATAGTCTCTTTGGAGCAGATCTTCACCAGCTTACCCCTTCCAATAATCTGGTCCATTTCAAGGATATGAAGAACAGCATTGCATTTGATTTGACAGGTGCTCCTGTAGTAGATCAGGCCTGCTTGCCAGAAAGAATTTTAGCCAAAATAGAGGAGAGTTTGGTGGTTTTCATGCATGCAGTTTGTATCTACATCTAATCTCCACCTGTTCATGACACCCAAATGAGATCCCACACACTACAGATTATGTAGACCCTAATAAAGTTAGCATGGTTCTTCTTTTACCTGCTGACATCATTAACTACATTGACATTTAGATTATTATAGATAGGCTTTGCCTTTAACATCCCTTTGAGGTGGCAGTTCGCGCCTCTTGTTTCAGGCTCTCAAAGTGACTGACTGCACCAGTTTACATACACTTCTCATTTTGAATGCTATCTTCCCAACCAGAGTTACAGGCATTGCTTTTAAATACAACTTTAGTGCCTGTAGTGCAAGATATACCATCCAGAAAAAGGGAGAGAGAGGCTTGTAGAGGAGCTGCACAGCAGGTCAATTCTAAAGCATTAATGAAAGGAGAACAGTGAAGCTTGGAAGGTTTTGTTTAATATATTTAGAAGCCCACTGAAGATGGTAAATTAAGGAGCAGGACAACTTCATGAGTGGTACTCTCAGAAACTCAACCTCAGCTACTTTTCTCCATCGCAGAACTCTTTACTGATTCCCATTGCTGTCCCAGAGAAAGATTCTGACTCTGCTCCATATTTTAGTCTATTTTTATATCTTTAGCTTTCTGTGCAGAACCACAGGTAGCTAAGTCAGAATTATGTAATCAATATCTCCACGTCAGCCATTAGTTCAGGGGAGCTCTCATTATAGTGACAGAGAAAAGATGTGATAGTGTGTTACCATTTCATCCCTGAGGTAAGTTTCATGTTATCTCCATGCAGCTTAGGCACTGATTCAGATAAGCACCTAAGCATATCCATTGAAATCAATGGATTTAAGCATGGGCTCACGATTTAGTCAAATGGGCCCTAAACACGTGCAAAAGGTCTTGATTCATGGGTCTGGTGGAGATATGGTTTCTTCCTCTCTTCCAAGGGGTGGTCCTTCTTCATGTGTTGATGCTGGTGTTCACACCTGGGCATGAGGGGTTAACCTTCCAGCTTCTGCATGTTTCCCTTAAAGCAGTTGGCCTGCTCCAACAGTCTAGAAGATTTGATACCTCATTATTTATTGCAGGCTGGGGGAGTTTCTGCTGGTGTGAACAAAAAGGCACTAGTGCTACATAATACAAACTCCTCACAGTGCATCCACAGGACTCCAGTGCTTTTCCTAAAGGCCCTGTGACATATTCACAGCTCTTTTCCACAAGAAGGTGGAGTCTTCCACCTGCAGGTCTCTAATGTCAATCTTTTACCATTGGACTTGGTCTCCCACTTCATTATCAACAACCAGTGATTTTTTTCTTTAAACTCCATGCGGTGTAGGAAGCACAATGCTTATGAAGCTATGGACAGAGTGTAATACATTCTCTAGATGGGAAATTATCGAGCCTTTAGGGGAAACAAATTCATTTTTTTTTCTGTTTGTGGTGGATTTTTGTTTGTTTGTTTTTTGAGGGGAGAAAGAGTATTTCCTTGGTTGCCTCATATTAATAAATGCTTCCAAAGCAATTGGTCTCAAAAAATGTGCCTGGTCCTCTGTACATTAAAAATCTACCATTTGTTCTGAAATGAAAGGGCAAACAATGAACCCCCTTTCTCCTATTTTATACATGGCTAGGGGAAATCTCATGAAGTTTCTTAATGTAAAACTAAGTTACTTATATTTTATTCTGTTATCTAGGTCCAAAACATCTGTCCAAGCATCCATGCTCTGAGACACCTACCTGAGCCAGAAGTTTTGAGGATGATCCATTATTAATAAAATGGAGAAATGGAAAGCACTATGGTATAACCAAATATTATATGATTCTCACCTTGACAAAAAATATGTCTCAGCCTTTCCCCTCACCCCAAGCCTCCTACAAAAATCACAGTTTACATATGTTAAGGGAAATAATTGGCATGTGACAACAAAATCACCATAATTTTAAAACTGAGATGTTATCAACATCTGATTATACCTGCAGCATGAGCACACTAGAAAAAACACACTAGCAGTCACCTTTATAGCGGTAGCTGTTTGCAGAATCCTCCAACCAGAAGGCGGCAACAGATTCCTGCCAGTGGAAGTAGCTACCAATAGCTGTTGGTAACGGGTAGCGTAGCAATAGCCGTCAGTAGTCAGGCAACAAGAGAGCACTGAACTAAGCAGCTCTGTTTTGAAGCCATTTTTATTCGCAGACCACTAATCCTTAAACAAAGGATCCATTGAGCCCTAAAAGTTAACTCATGCAGGGAAGTCAAATCTTCTCCATCTGTACTGACTGGTTGATGCTCTTAAAGCTAGAAACTGGCTGTCAGAAACAAACTCAGAAAATGGATAAAGTAGAAGTAAGAAAATGTTAAACAATTAAGAGACTTCTCAGAAAGCTTCACAATATGATTATATTCATTTCAGAAACATTTTGGTGTTGCTGTTATTTTGGTGCATTTCCCACACACATTATTCCAGTGACTGCCTTGTTAGACAGTCAGCAGAGTGATACGAGGGACAAATTTAGCTCATTGATTTTTATCATGTATCTGTATGGGGAGGAGGAGATTGGGGCATCAAGACATTTTTCTTAATAAAATAGATATCTCCAGCCTCCTATTTAAAATACAGCGAGTTGCCAGTAATGAGAGCTACTTCCCACCTAAATAGCAACACAGAGCCAGATTCTCATTCTTTGTACCCAATATCTCTCAGCTCCTCAGTATAGAGAAATGATATATATATAGTTCATAGATTCATAGACTCTAGGACTGGAAGGGACCTCGAGAGGTCATTGAGTCCAGTCCCCTGCCCTCATGGCAGGACCAAATACTGTCTAGACCATCCCTGATAGACATTTATCTAACCTACTCTTAAATATCTCCAGAGATGGAGATTCCACAACCTCCCTAGGCAGTTTATTCCACTGTTTAATCACCCTGCCAGGAACTTTTTCCTAATGTCCAACCTAAACCTCCCTTGCTGCAGTTTAAGCCCATTGCTTCTTGTTCTATCCTTAGAGGCAAAGGTGAACAAGTTTTCTCCCTCCTCCTTATGACACCCTTTTAGATACCTGAAAACTGCTATCATGTCCCCTCTCAGTCTTCTCTTTTCCAAACTGAACAAACCCAGTTCTTTCAGCCTTCCTTCATAGGTCATGTTCTCTAGACCTTTAATCATTCTTGTTGCTCTTCTCTGGACCCTCTCCAATTTCTCCACATCTTTCTTGAAATGCGGTGCCCAAAACTGGACACAATACTCCAGCTGAGGTCTAACCAGCGCAGAGTAGAGTGGAAGAATGACTTCTCATGTCTTGTTCACAACACACCTGTTAATGCATCCCAGAATCACGCTTGCTTTTTTTGCAACAGCATCACACTGTTGACTCATATTTAGCTTGTGGTCCACTATAACCCCTAGATCCCTTTCTGCCATACTCCTTCCTAAATAGTCTCTTCCCATTCTGTATGTGTGAAACTGATTGTTTCTTCCTAAGTGGGGCACTTTACATTTGTCTTTATTAAACTTCATCCTGTTTACCTCAAACCATTTCTCCAATTTGTCCAGATCATTTTGAATTTTGACCCTATCCTCCAAAGCAGTTGCAATCCCTCCCAGTTTGGTATCATCTGCAAACTTAATAAGCATACTTTCTATACCAATATCTAAGTCGTTGATGAAGATATTGAACAGAGCCGGTCCCAAACAGACCCCTGTGGAACCCCTCTCGTTATACCTTTCCAGCAGGATTGGGAACCATTAATAACTACTCTCTGAGTACGGTTATCCAGCCAGTTATGCACCCACCTTATAGTAGCCCCATCTAAGCTGTATTTGCCTAGTTTATCTATAAGAATATCATGCGAGACCATATCAAATGCCTTACTAAAGTCTAGGTATACCACATCCACCGCTTCTCCCTTATCCACAAGACTCGTTATCCTATCAAAGAAAGCTATTAGATTAGTTTGACATGATTTGTTCTTTACAAATCCATGCTGGCTATTCCCTATCACCTTACCACCTTCCAAGTGTTTGTAAACAATTTCCTTAATTACTTGCGCCATTATCTTCCCTGGCACGGAAGTTAAACTAACTGGTCTGTAGTTTCCTGGGTTGTTTTTATTTTCCTTTTTATAGATGGGCACTATATTTGCC